AAAAAAAAAAAAAAAAAAAGTTATAGGTGGTTTTTCAACTGTCCAGGGGTCAGCAATCCTAATCCCTGAGTTGTTCAAGGGTCAATTGTAATATATACGTTTTTTAAAACCCCAAATCACCGAAAGACATTTATTAGAAAAACACTGTCAACTGTGTTTGTCTCCAAAATGGTACCAACGATCCATCCCCCACCCTCCCTCTACACATGTGCAGCTCCTCCCACCATGAGGTGGCCTGTGTCTCTCTCCCTTGAATCTGGACTGGTACAGCAACTCTCTTTGACCAAAAGACTGTGACCAAAATGACCTAACTATCCTATGTATCATGCCTATACCTATGCTTAACACTTATGCTTTTTTTTTTAATGTACTCACCCTGCAAATTTGCTTTTTTTTAAAAGTAAAAATTGTCTTTTTACTTTAAAAAAGATCATTACAAAAGGAATACAGAATTGTTATTAAAAAAAATTTTTTAAACGAAAGTTTAGAAAGAAGGCACAAATCTCTCTTCTATCTTCTGAAACCATACTTCATAATCATTCTTATCAGTTCTGCTTTTCATGATCAGAAAAAAAAAAAAAAACCACCAAGTGAAAAATAAGACAGGAAAAAAACGTACATTCCAGAGCAGAGTGAAAAGAATTTCCTCCATGAAAAGTGAACCTATCCTAGAAGTGCTTATGTTGGGAGACAGTTCTTTAGGGTCTCTCACATCATGCACATCTTGCAAGCAAACACAGTTTTTTCCGGATTGTGTTTTCAAGGATGCTTGTACAGGCTGAGTATCCCTTATCCAAAATGTTTAGTACCAGAGTGTTTTGAATTTGGGATTTTTTTTTTAGATGGAGTTTCGCTCTATTGCCCAGGCTGGAGTGCAGTGGTGCAATCTCGGCTCACTGCAATCAACACCTTCTCTTGCCTCAGCCTCCCAAGTAGGTGGAACTACAGGCATGTGCCACCATACCTGGCTAATTTTTGTATTTTTAGTAAAGAGGGGTTTTACCACATTGGCCGGGCTGGTCTTGAACTCCTGACCTCATGTGGTCCGCCCACCTCGGCCTCCCAAACAGCTAGAATTACAGGTGTTAACCACCTCAGCCAGTTGGATTTTTTTAAATTTTTCAACAATTGCATTATACGTACCCAGTTGAATAGCCTAAAGCTGAAATTCCAAAATATGAAATATTCCAATGAGCATTTTGAGTATGACCTTTGAGCTTCATGCAGGCACTCAAAAGTTTCAGATTTGGGAGTATTCTGGATTTCAGGTTTTGGGATAAGGGATGCTCAACCTGCATAGCAAACATCCTTGGAGGGGAGAGTCTCCCTCTAGATCCTTGGAGGGGAGAGTCTCCCTCTAGAGCTGAGGACCAACGTTCTCACCGCCCCATGTAGAAGACATGGATTCCCTCAGCTCAGGGTTCCTCTCCCATAACATAACCCCCTGCATGTGAGGTGTCTGATTCTCATGTCACCCTATGGAAATTTGGACCAAGGAAACCAATGCAAAATGCAAAACTCTGGCAATTGCTACTGCCTCTGTCTCTGACCCAGAGGTCTTTTGTCTTCTGCCAGCATCCCTGAAACAGTCAGGCTAACAAAGTTACAACTGCTAACTTATCAACAAGTTGCAGGCTATAATTAGGGTAAAATCTCAAACCTTTCCTAATTCTTGATATTTTCATGAATATGTTTCTTTAAGTCATTTTTAAACAAGAAAATGTGGGTTTTCTCAGCTACACAGTTCCAACCGCTGGCCTATCAGCCAAGTACTCTTGAGCACTACTTATTTCCTGCCATGAATTTTCTCCTCTTCTGATAGTCTCCCATCCTCAACGATCCTACAGATTTCCCAAAACATACAGACACATTCTTTCCCTTCTGAGGACAGCGAAAGCTTGCCTACAAAGACATGATATCCTCAGGGTGAAAAATAAGCAAGGCCAAGTTCTAAGAGTGAAAAAGCAGGCACTTGCCAAACAGCAGAGAAAAAGCACATGTGGCCAACGAGCTCCTTGGAAAGGGGAGATGAAGAGGAAAACAATTGTGCATCCCAAGGTCAGGAGAATTTGATAATGCACCTCCACCCCACCCCATGCAAGGGAGTGGAAACGCTGGCATTAGATAATTCCAGAAAAGGGGCCAGGTACAGTGACTCATGTCTGTAATCCGAACACTTTGGGAGGCCGAGGCAGGTGGATTGCTTTAGGTCAGGAGTTTGAGACCAACATGACCAACATGGTGAAACCCCACCTCTACTATAAATACAAAAATACAGCTGGGCATGGTGGTGCACACCTGTAATCCTAGCTACTCAGAGGCTGAGGCAGGAGACTTGCTTGACCCCGGGAGGTGGAGGTTGCAGTGAGCCAAGATGGCCCCATTGCGCTCCAGCCTGGGCAACATGACAGAGCAAGACTTAGTCTCAAGGAGGAAAAAAAAGATAATTCCAGAAAAGGAAAGTCAATCTGCTCCACAGACTTTCCAGACAGTACTGAGGTACGGGTGGATGGCATTTCCAGGGTTTACTATCAGGCAACTTAAAGCAGAATTATCAGGCCTTTGCTCTGCATATCGTCTTCCGTCTGGGAATAATGCTGACAAGATTTGCAGAATAATGTTCTCAGAGATCAAGGAAATGACCTTTGGAGGTAGCATAAGGAAGGGTGACTACAAAAAAAATGACTGACAAGGACAGTAAGCCTGGACCCATATTCAGAAGTCCTTGAATTTCTGTCGGTCTCCAGCTGGGATTGATTCTCACTGGCTGGGATGAAAACTGTGGTCCTGCCTGAGGGCTCAGGCACAGACAGAGTGACCATTCCGATGCTGTGAAAGGAAGCAACGTGAAGTAGAACGACATACAGGAACTTACCCAATAGTAGGGCTGATGTTGTGGTCAAAGTGATCCTGGACAAATCGACACACAATGCTTGATTTCCCAACCCCAGTGTCCTAGAAAAGAAATGAGGATATAACTATGAAGATGAAGGATGGCAACTCTCAGAGATAACCAGAGGGCAGGACTGGCTATTTCTGGTTGATGGGACTGGGAGGCGGAGTGGGAGAATATTTTCGTCTATTTCTTACCAATTTTTTCTACAATAAAATTGTATTGCTTTCATAGAAAGAAAAAAGTATGGTAAAAATAAGTTTCAGAAACATGCCTGACATATATACAATATTTAACCAAAATGAACATGTTCTCCATGGATGTATTTTCAGAAATTTGGAAATCTTGGGAGGGGTCTAGAGAAGAAGTATGTGAACATACCACATTGTTTTGGCAGAAATAGAATTCATTCTGTTCAAAACCTTGCATTCAAAAGACACGTAATCTGTTTCTCTGGGTGTCACCCTATAAAACCTATTAATTCTAATTTCCACATTTCTAACATTTTCTTTTTAGAATCTGATGGTTGGGTAATAACTTCCAAATTTTGCTTAATTATATAATGGTCTTGTCTCAAATCTTTCACTCTTAAATAATTATTTAAAGCTGATTAGGACAAGGATCCAATTACACACTGGAAATTGAAGACATGCATTTACATCCACTCCCTTCCAAAGCCTTTGTAAAGTGGTTTAAGAAATAACAGACACAAATTCACAAGGTCAAAGAGATAGGAGGAGAGATAACACCAGACAAGTGGTATCAACAAAATTCAGGAGGACAAGTGGTCCCTGAGAATGAAAAAGCCGAAACCGAAGTGCCAGCAGGGAGAGAAGCCAATAAAGAAGCAGGTCAGCTCATGCCGCAGAACCTCAGAAGACATCAAGAATTGGAGGGCATGGTTGAAAACAGATCAGTCGAAAGGCTACACAACAACCTACCCTGGAGCCCCAGGCCACATAACCAGGGTCAGAGCTTTACTCTCTAGGAAGCCTGCAGCAGACAGAGCTGGGCTTGGGGACATCAGGCACAGCTAAAGGAGTGGCCAGGTGCTGTTCACCCTGAGCTGCATAAGCCTACACAGAAGCAGTGGGGGAGCCCCTTTAGGTAAGAGGAAAAAAATCTCTCGAGTTCCTGATATTTTGGGTCCCCTAACCAAAGGCCAGTGTGCAGCAGTTGATAAGCCCCAATACAAACAGAGCTTTCAACTTACATTTTAATTTTTTCAATATAAACACTCACTAAGAAATGCCAGACATTCATATGCTTCCCCCCTCCACACACACACACAAAAGAGCAGGATGCTATTTTAAGAGATCATTCAGAGAATATGACCGACCTTTTAGAAATTTAAAATGTGTCTAGGTGTAGCGGCTCACACCTGTAACCCCAGCACTCTGGGAGGTCAAAGCAGGATGAACACTTGAGGCTAGGAGTATAAGACCAGCCTGGGCAACATAGCAAGACCCCTGACTCTACAAAAAAAAAAAAAAATTAGCCAGATGTGGTGACATGAGCCTGTAGTCCCAGCTACTTGGGAAGCTGAGGCAGGAAGATTGCTTGAGGCTGGGAGTTCAAGGGTGCAGTGAGCTATGATTGCATCACTGCATTCGGCCTGGGTGACAGAGTGAGACCCTGTCTCAAAAAAATAATTAAAAATATGATAGTAGAAATTAAAATTTCAAAGAGTTAGAAAATAAAGTCAGGGAGTTAACCAAAAGTATAAGAAAGTAGAGAAAAGCACCTGCCCTCAGTTGCTAATGCCTGCTGTTCTGAGAGGCAGGGAGGACGGAGAGCCCAGGACCCGAGGCCTTATTAACACAGTGCCATTATCAACATGTTCCCACTTGAGAGGATCATGGAGGCATTCTACAAACAATAAACAAAAGGGAAACAAGTCATTTATCGAGGGAAGGAAAACAGTTGATTTTATTCTCTTAATTAAAGGTGTAACATTGAAAGCCAAAAGGTCGAGGACAAAATGCTGAAATTCAGAGAAATGTGGTTTTCTTCAGACACGAAATATGAAATGGGATTTGAAATACCAGCTGGCAATCAGAATTATTTTTACTCCTTCTCAGCCCTGTTTTGGGGGGACTATTCCAGCAAATCTGGGACAACAGGGGACTTGGTTTTTAATACTCATCAGAAAATCCCTCTCTAGAAGGTCACGCCTCCCAAGGAGAGCAGCCTGCACTGACTCTGAGCCCTAACAAACACAGTACCAAAGCTGCTGTTTATCTGCAGTGTGCAATCAATGCACAGAGTTCAAAGAGGTGATGGCAGAATTAAAACATCAGCTCATGAGATGCCAATCGATGCTACTTCTATTTCTGAGCTGCACCTCAAGTATGGATTCTGGCTCATGTTCTCTCACAGTCCCCCAGACCACAACTCTTTTCATCTCAGTCATTTTTAAGACCTCCTATGGAGGAGCAGATCCTTGCCCGACTCTAGCCCATGTAACCCCAGAGAAACTGAACACTGAGAAACCGCGACGCCCTGCCCCGCCCTGCCCTTGAAGATTAGGAAAATGTCCCTTGCAGCAGGCAGCACACTTTCATGAGGCCAACTGATTCCTACAAACTGCCAAGTAGGCGGGGTGGGGACCTCTCCGCAACACCAACTCCGCTCATTTCTACCTTTCTCCATTACAGTTTAGGAATTCTCTTTCTCAGGGCTCTTCCATTCATTCGTTCGTTCATTCATTCATTCTTCACTCGCTCAACAGCGTCCCCCAAACCCTCCCTTTCCCATGCCAACAGGAAGCTAGACCCCATTGACAGGGAGATACTGTTCCACCCTCCCGGACCTCCAGGAGTTCCCGAGCAGAGCAAGGCACACGGCAGGAGGACCAGCACACAAATGGTGAGGCAGGGCTGCCCCACCTGTAGCCCCCCCAAGCTCGGGAGACAACACCTCGATTTGCTCCTTTTCTTCCTTCCTTGATATCCAGGCTTACCCTATCACCCAGCGAGAAACCTCTCCCGGTTCCTGTCTGCCCCACAGACTTCCTCCTGAGGCTGCGCACGGTTTCTCAGTTCCCTCCGGTGCTTGGGGCACAGGACTGAGGGTGCATCTTCTCAGTGGGGGCACTGCTCTGGAGAGCACCCCTTTGGAATGTATCGTATACTGTCCCAAGGGATGTGCTCAAAACAACGGACACAAGTCTCAAAACAGCCAACAAACAAATCCTGCAAGGCCAGCCCCAAAATGCCCTTGAAGGTGGAAAAGGAAAATGCCACCTGACAGTGCTCAATGCTCGGCTCTACTCATCATCCTCAACAAAGGGCTCAAGCGACAACTCCAGCTTGTCTAAATAGTTACAGCAGCAAGTCTGCTCAAATTTAGATTTAAGCATTGATTTTTCAGTGAAACAAGTCACTGTTTATTTTAAAACATTTTAACTCTCGCCTTTTTTATAATGCACTGTCAAATGTAGACTCTTAGACATTTGATAGAAAAGAAATAACAGGACAAAAGGATAGGCAAAGTTTTAGTTTGTCTCAGAAAATGAAACATTTCTACAAAGAACGCCACCATTGAATCCTCTCTGGCCACTGACTTGGGACCGACTGTTCCAAGTGGATGCAGCTCCCGATCTCCAGGGGTGGGTGCTGTTCCTCGGCTGGCCACCAGGGGCACACCCTGCCCGCGGTTTGCTGAGGCCAGCCAGGAGCCAGGCTAAGGCGTCACTCGGCCCTGGGACTTACCCTTCCCTGCAGGAACATCACTGGGGCTGTGACACACACACAAGGAAAGTGCCAGGGGCATCGTGACTGTAGCAGGTGAAGACACAAAGGGGGAACGCAGAAAAAAGAATGAAGCCTACTGGGTGAAGGGGCCTTGGAAGAGAGACAGGACCAGAGAGGCCTGTCTTTAGGGCCACACTGATGGAAACCCATGTATGTATATAATCTTCCATTTCATAAGATTTTCAGAATACCACAGGCCATCTTGTCCAGTCCCCTCATTTTGCTAAAGAGGAAACTGTGTGACTTCCTCAAGGTCATATAGCTGGTGTTAAGAGTCAGAACCAAACTCATTGAGTCCTAGTGAAAACCTATTACAGTTCTTACTAGGTTATATCAACTTCCCTGCCAAGTGTACATTTCTCCCCCTTTTTTTAAGAGGGAGGGTCTTGCTCTGTCACCCAGGCTGGAGTGCAGTGGTGCAATCATAGCTCACTGCAGCCTCAAACTCCTGGGCTCAAGTGATCCTCTCGCTTCAGCCTTCCCAGTAGCTGAGACTACAAGTGTGCACCACCAGACCCAGCTATTTTTAAATGCTGGGGTTTTTCTGCAGAGACAAGGTCTTGCTATGTGGGCCAGGCTAACACAAATTCCCAGGCTCAAACAATCCTCCCGCCTCAGCCTCCCAAAGGGCTGGGATTACAGGCATGAGCCACCACACCAGCCTAAATTTCTTCTTTAAAAAAAAAGTCAAATTTGTAGAACACAAGTACTATTAGTGCTTTCTGGTTTCACGTTGCAGAGCTCAAATTACTTATAGCCGTCTCAGGCTCTGAAGATACAGCCGCTGCTGCTTTAACAGTAAAGAAAGGGGCTCAAATTACTGACTGCTGAGGAGACATTAGAATAAACCCAATTATGAGTCCAGAATCTGAAATAAAGTACAGTAAAATCCTACCTGTGGGCCTGGCAGTGTTTCATTGTATACTCATTTGTATGGTTGATATCAGAGAGGTGCTCACACCCAGCAATTGGTTCCATCTACTTCCTGGGAAATTGATCCCTCAGATGAGATTCCTTTCTGAGAACAACCACTTATTCTGAAATGACAACCTCTGCTGTTTGAATTGTCACGCTTATTAATTGCATGTAAATCTATAATTATGAAATCAAGAGCCACAGACTTTTGGCTGCTTCTATATAAAACGCTAGGCACCACCAATTCGTGAAAACCAAGCACTGACACTTGATTCACTCCTGGACTCCTGCAACAGCCTTCAAGCTTCTTACCCCTCCGGATTAAGACTGATACCTCCCAGTACAAAGAGGAGCTGGTCCATTCCTTCCGAAACTATCCCAAACAACAATAG